GAGTCTCCATAGAATGAAGGAAGGAAGGAAGGAAGGAAGGAAGGAAGGAAGGATCCCTCTGTGGATCTTGCATTTTACTTCAATATCAGAACTTTGGCAACACCAGAAATGTATAGATTTTGTATTTTTGCTATAAATATTTTGTATGGATTTTTTTGTAAGAATAAACTTTTCATCCTGCCTTAACTAGGAAGAAAAGAGAGAAGGAAGGAGGGAGGGAGGAAGAAGAAGAAGAAGAAGATGATGATGATGATGAAGATGATATTGGATTTATACCCCGCCCTTCACTTGGAGTCTCAGAGCAGCTTACAAACTCCTTTCCCTTCCCTTCCCCTCCCCACAACAGACACCATTGTGAGGCAGGTGGGGCTGAGAGAGCTCTTTCCAGAATGGATTTTATCTTGTGTAAGCCACCCTGAGCCTGCTTTGGCGGGGTAGGGCAGGGTATAAGTGGAAAAATAAAATAAGAACAGCTCTGACAGAACTACGGCTTGCCCAAGGTCATCCAGCAGTTGCAAGTGGAGGAAGAAGAAGAAGAGGAGAAAAGACTGGATTTATACCCTGCCCTTCACTACCCAAAGGTGTCTCAGAGCGGCTTACAAACTCCTTTCCCTCCCCCTCCCCACAACAGACACCCTGTGAGGTAGGGGGGCTGAGAGAGAAGAAGAAGAGATTAGATTTATACCCCGCCCTTCACGACCCAAGGGAGTCTCAGAGCAGCTTACAAACTCCTCTCCCTCCCCCTCCCCACAACAGACACCCTGTGAGGTAGGCGGGGCTGAGAGAAGAAGAAGAAGAGATTGGATTTATACCCCGCCCTTCACTTGGAGTCTCAGAGTGGCTTACAAACTCCTTTCCCTCCCCCTCCCCACAACAGACACCCTGTGAGGTAGGTGGGGCTGAGAGAGCTCTGGCAGAAACTGCTCTTTTTCAAGGACAGCTCTTGCCAGAGCTACGGCTTGCCCAAGGCTATCCAGCAAGGTGCAAGTGGAGGAGTGGGGAATCGAACCCGGTTCTCCCAGATTAGAGTTTGTGCTCTTAACCACAACACCAAACTGGTGTAAAGAGAGAGAGAGAGAGTGAGTGAGTTAATTAGTTCCTGGAGATTTGGGGGTGCCGCTGGGGAGGAAGGTATTTGGGGATGGGAGGGACTTCAGTGGGGTATAACGCCACAGAGTCCACCCCATTCAAAGCGCCGACTTTTTCCCAGGGGAACTGATCTCTGTAGTCTGGAGATCAGTCAGTCACTCTAGACGCTCCCCAGGCCCCACCTGGAGGTTGGCAACCCTAAAGGCAGGTCACACGTCGTTATTACAGCATTACAGACAAAAGCCACCTAGGAGACCCCAAATCCCTCCTTCCCACCAAAAAAAGACGCCTGCTGTTCATGCACAAAGCCTCGGTAAACAAACGAGGCTCCCTGTAAAGGTCTCCGAGGAGGGGGCAACCGGGGGGGGAACCCCAAAGCTTGAGGGGGCTTGGGGGGCGGAACTGAGAAGGCTAAAGTGCCGAGAGACACTCTTTGTCATGTTCTTTTCTCGTGCTGCAGGAGATCGACTTGAGAGAGAGGCAGGAGCGAGAGGACCCCAGGAGTCCTTTCTCCTGGGACGGAGGCTGTGACAGCTTTCCTCCGCGGTCACAGGGGACTAGGAGTGGGCCTTCTAAAGTCGAAGGACCAAAAATGGAAAAACTGCTTCTTCTTTTATGCCAGTGCCAGATGGCGGGAGGCACGCGTGCTGGAATACGGCAAGTCGCCTCCTCTGCCCGGCGGCCTCCTTTCCCATTCATCTGTGTAAGGAAGGTGACCTTACAGAGCCCGTCTCCTCTCTCATTTCACGCTTACGTGCAGAGCCGGTCAGCTGATGCGAAACGCAGGGATGAGTCTGGCGGGGCTGGATCCGGAGTCCCCGCTCCGTCATCCATCCCTGCCCTAGCGGGGGCACTGCAAACTTACACCGGCGTAAACCCCAGTGGCCATTTAGGAGTCTAGGTGCTCCTCCCGGTTCGAGCACCGCCAGGTAGGCAAAAGTCAATTATTCATGGCGAGAGGATTTATTTCTCAGGAGCGCATTTCTTAGCTGCTCGGGGGAAAGGCAAGGTTTGGAAACCGGTACAAGCTTGAACTGCGAGCCTCTAGACACTCACCCCTGTTAAATCGATGTGATAATGTCAACCTCCATCTTAACCTATATTCCTCTGTATGCTTTTTAAAAATTGCAAGATCCTAGTCCTCATGGTTCGGAAAGAGAAGCGTGAGCCCCTAAAAACTTCCAAACTGGCCCAAAGCCCCACCTAGTCTAGGATTCTAGCAAGGGTTGCCAACTCCGGGTTAGGAAATCCCTGGAGATTTGGGGGTGGGCTAGGGTCGCCAACCTCCTGGTGGCACCTGGAGATCTCCCGCTATTACAATTGATCTCCACGTGACCAAGATCAGTTCCCCTGGAGAAAATGGCTGCTTTGGAGGGTGGAGTCTATGGCAGGAGTGTCGAACTCATTTGTTATGAGGGCCGGATCTGACATAAATGAGACCTTGTCGGGCCGGGCCACGTATGTCATGAAATGTAATGCCAGGTGGCGGAGAGATAAACTTTATAAAGGACACAAACACAAAGATTCTAACTTAAAGTAAAAACATGCTTAAAACATTAACTCTGTAAGCTGCAAACCTACTTTTGATTTATTGACATTGAAATCTCATGCTCAGAGTTCTGAGTCTAGGACCCAGGTGAAAACATGAAATGGCCAAGTGATTAAAAAGAGTCTGGCAAAGCAAGCTATGACGCAGCAGCAACAGCAGAACTGGAAGCAGGAGATGGCCAGTTCCACTGCGGGCCTGATGGAAGCCCTCTGGGGGCCTGAGCCAGCCCCCGGGCCACATGTTTGACACCCCTGATCTGTGGCATTAGACCCTTTGAGGTCCCGCCCTTCCCCAAACCCCGCCTTCTCCAGGCTCCACCCCCAAACTCTCCAGGTATTTCCCAACCCAGAGCTGGCAACCCTGGGGGAGGGGGGAACCTGGAACTTGGTCAGGGGAAGGGTGTCAGGAGGGGTGTGATTTCATGGATCTCTAATGCGATCTTGGGGTGTTATCCACAGAGGCGTAGCATCCAGATCGCAAGACGTGATAGTCCCGCTGTACACTGCATTGGTCAGGCCACACCTGGAGTCTTGTGTGCACTTCTGGAGGCCTCACTTCCGAAAGGATGTGGGCGGAATGGAGCGGGTGCAGGGGAGAGCGATGAGGACGATCGGGGGCCTGGAGACCAAGCCCTGTGAGGAAAGGCTGCGGGACTTGGGAATGTTCAGTCTGGAGAAGGGGAGGTTGGGGGGGGGGGGACAGGATGGCTCTCTTGAAGTATCTGAAGGGCTGTCGCTTAGAAGAGGGCAGGGAGCTGCTCCTGTTGGCAGCAGAGGAGAGGACTCGCAATAATGGGTTTAAATTACAGGCCAAAAGGTACCAGCTGGATATTAGGGAAAGCTTTTTGACAGTCAGAGTTGTGCAACAGTGGAATCGGCTGCCTCAGGAGGTGGTGAGCTCCCCCTCCCTGGCAGTCTTTAAGCAGCAGCTGGACAAACACTTGTCAGGGATGCTCTAGGCTGGTCCTGCGTTGAGCAGGGAGTTGGACTAGGTGGCCTGGATGGCCCCTTCCGACTCTATGATTCTATGAGTCCACCTTCAAAAGCACCCATTTTCTCCAGGGGAACTGATCTCCGTACTCTGGAGATCAGCTGTTAAGTGCCGGAGATCAGACCTGGAGGCTGGTGAACCCTAATTCTAGCACTTCAGGTTTTACCATAGAGCTTCCGCTGAATCCTAGAGCGGCATGATCTGACCGCAGGCCCGATCCCCACACTGTTTTGCTGCTGCCCTAGGCGTTAACACAGAGCTGCCACCCCATAGACTGGCACCCCTCACACACCCCTCACAGCTGAGTGGCAGTTAAGGGGCACGGTGACTCAGCTAAGAACAGAAAAACAAAGTCCGAGAAAGTGGAGGAGGAGGAGGAGGAGGAGGAGATTGGATTTATACCCCGCCCTTCACTACCCAAGGGAGTCTCAGAGCGGCTTACAAACTCCTTTCCCTCCCCACCACAGACACCCTGTGAGGCAGGCGGGGCTGAGAGAGCTCTGACAGAAACTGCTCTTTTTAAAGAAGAAGAAGAAGAAGAAGATGATGATGCTGGATTTATACCCCGCCCTTCACTACCCCAAGGTGACTCAGAGTGGCTTACAAACTCCTTTCCCTTCCCCTCCCCACAACAGACACCCTGTGAGGCAGGTGGGGCTGAGAGAGCTCTGACACAAACTTCTCTTTTTCCAGAACAGCTCTGGCAGAACTATGGCTCACCCAAGGTCATCCAGCAGGTGCAAGTGGAGGAGTGGGGAATCAGACCCGGTTTTCCCAGATTAGAGTCCGCGCACTTAACCACTACATCAAACTGGCACCAAAGTGCCGAAGGAGGGAAATGCAGCGCTTAGCTACGCCCTTCTGAAGGCGGAGCTTAGTCCTGCCCCTCCCCCAGACTGGCTGTGGGTGGAGACAAAAAGGAGGGGGCTGAGTGGGGTGGCTGCATGGGGGTCGGGAAATCAGTCAAAGGAGGGTTTTGAAAAGTCTGGTTCAGAGGAGACAGTCCCAAGATCAAGTTCAAGGTGTTAGTGCGGACTTCCAAAG